AGGATCTGAGGCCCAGAGGTGAGTGACTGACCAAGGTCACACAGCCAGTAATTGACAGAACCAGTATTACATGAGCCAGGATGTGTCTGGCTCCAGAGCCTATGGTCTTAACCAATTATCTAAAATGGAAATTTATCTTTTGCAATACTGTCTTTTTTTTTTTTTCTTTTGAGACAGAGTCTCTTGTCCCCAGGCTAGAGTGCTGTGGTGCAATCTAGGTGCACTGCAGCCTTGACCTGAATTTTTTTTTAACCTGTAGCTGAGACTACAGGTGCACACCACCACCACACCTGGCTAATTTTGTGATGCTGTAGAGATGGGGGAGGGGCATCTCACTGTCTTCCTCAGGCTGGTCTCAAACTCCTGGGCTCAAGTGATCCTCCAGCCTTAGCCTCCCAAAGTGCTGGGATTACAGGCATGAACCACCACTCCCAGCCTGCAATATCATCTTAATACAAAAATTACCCAGGCACGGCAGCTCACACCGGTAATCCCAAACTTTGGGAGACTGAGGCAGGCAGATCATGAGGTCAGGAGCTCAAGACCAGCCTGTCCAATACGGTGAAACCTCACCTCTACTAAAAATACAAAAATTAGCCAGGCGTGGTGGCAGGCACCTGTAATCCTAGCTACTGGGGAGGCTGAAGCAGAAGAATTGCTTGAACCTGGGAGGTAGAGGTTACAGTGAGGAAAGATGGCACCACTGCACTCCAGCCTGGGTGACAGAGCGAGACCCTATCTCAAAATGACAACAACAAAACATGAAAAATGTAAGTGATTGAGTAATCTATGTTTCCCCATCTTGCTGAAGAGCATGTTTTATCTCAGTTCCAGTTTGGAATACTCCCCGCTAAGGCACCAAAATAAAATACTAATGCTACTTACTGATGTTCCCTTGAGCCAGGACTAGGTAAATGCACAGTGATCCCTTTTGCTCCTCCATTTTCTATGATGACTACTCTTTGTTGACATATTTGACACACTGTTGTTTTACTATAATAGATGAAGCTGTAATAAAGTCTATTCTGGGGTCTGAAATGCTGTCACCTCCACTAATGTCAAGTCGGTGGTACAGTAAGTGACATGATAGAATGTGCTCTGAACTTTAAATCAGTAAGTCTGGGTTTGTCTGACCCTGGCTTTGCTGCAAAACTAGCTGTATGAATAACTTCTTTTTTTCTTTTTCTTGGTGGCTGCTGGCTGTTTGCAAACTGCTTTATAAGTATCAGTGTTCTTAAATTTTGGTATAAACATGCAGTGTTCTAATGGGATTATTCCATACATATTGTTCTAGCTCTTTTTTTCCTTCTTTAACAATATTATTTGATTGTCTTTGTCAGCTGAATGATTAAAAATCTGCCTCTTGGTTCATTAATTCATTCAAAATGTGCTAGGCATGATTTCAGGTACCAAAATGTGGCTGTCAACAAACAAGAGACTTTACATTGTTTTTAATGGCTGCATGGTATTCATTATTATGAATGTACCATATTTATTCAACCATTTCCCTTCAAATAAACTGGTAGATTATTTCCTTTTTTTTGTTTGTTTATATGTTTGTTTGAGACAGAGTCTTGCACTGTCACCAGGCTGGAGTGCAGTGGCGCAATCTCAGCTTATTGCAACCTCTGTCTCACGGGTTCAAGTGATTCTCCTGCCTCAGCCTCCTGAGTAGCTGGGATTATAGGTGTGCACCACCACACCCAGCTGATTTTTGTATTTTTAGTAGAAACGGTATTTCACCATGTTGGCTAGGATGGTCTTGATCCCTTGACCTTGTGATCTGCCCACCTCAGCCTCCCAAAATGCTAGGATTACAGGCATGAGCCACCGCACCCAGCATATTTCCTTTTTTTGAGTCTCATTCTGTCACCAGGCTGTGGGGTGCAGCGGTGCGATCCTGGCTCACTGCAACCTCCTCCTCCTGGGTTCAAGCGATTCCCTGTCTCAGCTTCCCGAACAGCTGGGATTCCAGGTGTGTGCCACCACGCCCAGCTAATTCTTGTATTTTTAGTAGAGACAGGGTTTTACCATGTTGGTCAGGCTGGTCTCAGACTCCTGATCTTGTGATCCACCTGCCTCAGCCTCCCAAAGTGCTGGGATTACAGGCATAAGCCACCTGGCCTGACCCCTCCATTTTTTTTTTAACCAACAATGAGATACCGAGTATATGTGTGGTGCTAAGGCTTCCTTCTTATATCTACTTATGTTGCGTAGTTCTTTTTTCTTACTGATTATGATATGTTTTTATAGCTTTATTAGTCTGATTAGCCATCTTAAATTTTTATCATTTTTCTGAACAATGAGGTGTTTAAATCCTCTGAAATGTATTTTGCATATGTATCATACAAAGTGTATAGGAATCTGGCTTCCTTTCCAAATGGATTTAATTTTTATAGCAGCATTTATTGAATTATTTTCCTTACCTATTGATCTCTCCATATATTATTCTCAGATCTCTCTCTGTGATTTTCCATTTTAATCCCCTGATCCATCTGCTTGGGTTATACTGTCTTTCAGTAACATTATTTTGATATAATTTCAAACTTTAAAAAGGCTGCAAGAACAATACCCAACACCCCCACATAACCTTTACCCAGATTCTTAAGAATCTGGGTAAAGGTTATGTGGGGGTGTTGGGTATTGTCACTCTCTATCTTGGTAGAGATAGTTTTATTCTTTTATTTTTAACCATAAGGTGGAGACAGTAAGCACTTTTATTTCTAAATATTTCAGTGTGTATTTTCTAAGAATGGGAATATTGATCTTCTTTTGTTTTTGAGACAGGGTCTCACTCTGTCACCCAGCCTGGAGCACATTGGTATGATTTCTACTCACTGTAACCTCTGCCTCCTGGGCTCAGGGGATCCTCACACCTCAGCATCCCCAGTAGCTGTGACTCCAGGTATGCACCACCATGCCTGGCTAATTTTTCTGTTATTTTGTCGAGACAGGTTTTTGCCATGTTGCCCAAGATGGTCTTGAACTCCTGGGCTCAAGCAATCCACCCACCTCGGCCTCCCACAGTGCTGGGGATTACACACGTGAGCCACTGTGCCTGGCTGGGAATGTTAATCTTACATAATTTCAGTACAGTAATCATAATCAGGAAATTAAACACCAATACGTTTATCTATATACTATATGCAAATTTTGTCAATTGTCCTATTTTTTTTCCTGTTTCAAGATCTAATCTGGAATCTTGGATTGCATTGAACTGTTCAGTTCTTCAGGCTGTCTTTTTATGACCTTGACATTTTTGAAATCCTGTTTTATAGGAATGTCCCTCGGTTTGGACTTGTCTGATGTTCCCTCAAGTTGAGATTCAGGATGTGCATTTTTAAAGTCATATGTCCTTAGTGAGGAGATACATGTGTCCCACTGTAGGCAAAGCTAAACTCAAAGAAATTGACTAGGGTATTATCTGCCAGTTTTCTCTACTGTAAACTTGCTGTTTTTCCCTTTATAGTTGCTAATCTGCTAATTATATCCAATTTAAAGTAAATTGTAATATCTGGTATTCTTGGCACTTTATATTTTCCCATAGCTTTTAGAATCACTGAATCGTCCAATCCAAGATGGTGGTATATTTTTCATTTTTTTCTTTAATATAATTTGAGCTTTTTCCTCATCTAGGCTTTTTACCTTGTTAAATATATTCTGAGGGTTTTGATGTTTTTGTTTGTTTCTGAGACAGGGTCTCACTCTGTCACCCAGGCTGGAGTGCAGTGACATAATATTGGCTCACTACAACCTCCGGCCCCTGGGCTCAAGCGGTGTTCCCACCTCCATTGGGATTCCAGGGGTGAGCCACCCGTGCCTGCCCTCTCCACCCTCTTGTTGTTGGAGACAGAGGCTCGCTCTGTCACCCAGGCAGTGGTATAAGTATTCTACTTATTTGGTTTTTTGATGATGGTATAAATACTAAGGGAGGCATTATGTGAAAAATAAATGTTTCAGTGCTTTATAGCATGACACTTTATTTTTATTTTATTTATTTTGAGATGAAGTCTCACTGTGTCACCCAGGCTGGGGGTGTAAAGGCGCCATCACAGTTTATGACTCACTGCAACTTCTATAGCGCGACACCTTAAATTTTGTAATTTTATATTTGTTGATTTCTTTTTTTTTTTTTTTTTTTTTTTTTTTGAGATGGAGTTTCACTCATGTTACCCAGGCTGGAGTGCAATGGCGCGATCTCGGCTCACCGCAACCTTCGCCTCCTGGGTTCAGGCAATTCTCCTGCCTCAGCCTCCTGAGTAGCTGGGATTACAGGCACGCGCCACCATGCCCAGCTAATTTTTTGTAGTTTTAGTAGAGACGGGGTTTCACCATGTTGACCAGGATGGTCTCGATCTCTTGACCTCGTGATCCACCCGCCTCGGCCTCCCAAAGTGCTGGGATTACAGGCTTGAGCCACCGCGCCTGGCCTGTTGATTTCTTATAAATATTTATATTTAGAAATTTTTCTCTTTTTTTTTGAAACAGTCTCTCTCTGTCACCGAGGCTGGAGTGTGATCTCGGTTCACTGCAACATCTGCTTCCTGGGTTCAAGCAATTCTCCTGCCTCAGCTTCCCAACTAGCTAGGATTACAGGCGCTTGCCACCATGCCTGGCTAATTTTTTGTATTTTTAGTAGAAATGGAATTTCACCGTGTTGGCCAAGCTGGTCTCAAACTCCTGACCTCAGGTGATCCACTCGCCTCCACCTCCCAAAGTGCTGGGATTACAGACATGAGCCCCCCTGTTCTGATTTATTAAGAACTTTAAATCTGAATAGCTAAAAAGTGGTATCTGCTTATATAATTACGATTTTTGTTAATGTACTAGTAGACTTCTGTAGTTCTTAATCATGGTGACTCTTTGAGTCAGTTTCCTTACCAGTAAAATAGGAGTACCATCACATTTAATCTTCCTACCCTACAGGAATAAGTGTGTTCCTTGTCTTTTGGTATAATAATGTAAACTATGTTAAAGTTTTCTGCGTTTCCCTTCACCAGAGTAAGCTGCACATGGAGGGCTTCCGGAGCTTGAAGGAGGGTGAGGCCGTGGAGTTCACCTTTAAGAAGTCAGCCAAGGGTCTGGAATCCATCCGTGTCACTGGACCTGGTGGGGTGTTCTGCATTGGGAGTGAGAGGCGGCCAAAGGGGAAGAACATGCAGAAGCGCAGATCAAAAGGAGACAGGTATGGATTGGAAGGCAGCTTATATAGTTTGCTAGGGGCATCCCCTGTCTCCCAGTCCTGCCACTTTTTGGGTCTCATTGCCAGAGATGAAGGGAAGCCTGTGGTTCCTGGCAGCATTTAGGTGACTGAGTCTCTGCAATAGGTGTGAGCAAGGGCAGCAGGTGAGGATGGCACTGGGGGTAACTTAGTGCTTCCACTTGGGACAATTAACTTTGCTCTAGCCTCAATTGTTTTTTTGTTTTGAGATGGAGTCTCACAGTATTGCCCAAGCTGGAGTGCAGTGGCCTGATCTCAGCTCACTGCAACCTCCACCTCCCGGGTTCAAGCAGTTCTCTTCCTCAGCCTCCCTAGTAGCTGGGATTACAGGCACTCGCCACCAATGCTTGGCTAATTTTTGTATTTTTAGTAGAGACAGGGTTTTACCGTCTTGGCCAAGCTGGTCGTGAACTCCTGACCTTGTGATCCACTTGCTTCAGCCTCCCAAAGTGCTGGGATTATAGGTATAAGCCACCGCGCCCAGCCCTAGCCTCAATTGTTAAGTGAAGGCAGTGATACTAACCTCATAGGGTAGTTTTAAAATTAATGGAGACCATGGATTTGCAAATGATGGGACAAGATAGCATTAGCTATATCTGTTGCTTTTTTTTTTTTTTTTTTTTTTAGTGCAATGGCGTGATCTTGGCTTACCGCAACCTCCGCCTCCTGGGTTCAGGCAATTCTCCTGCCTCAGCCTCCTGAGTAGCTGGGATTACAGGCACACGCCACCATGCCCAGCTAATTTTTTTGTATTTTTAGTAGAGACGGGGTTTCACCATGTTGACCAGGATGGTCTCGATCTCTTGACCTCGTGATCCACCCGCCTCAGCCTCCCACAGTGCTGGGATTACAGGCGTGAGCCACCGCGCCCAGCTTCTGTTGCTTTTTTATAAGGTCTACAAACAGCTGTTTCCTTAATCTTGCTTGGCCTTAAAGCACCTTAGCTCTGAACAGATACTATAATTTGGCTTCTTTAATTTCTCCTATATTAAGGGCATGGAAGAATCTCTCCTATCCTCCAAGTTTCAGTTCCCATTTCGGGTCAGTAACTTCTAATTTCTGGTATCTTGGTATTTTCAAGTTGACATGAATCTGAAGAGCTCACCTAGACAATTAGATGTGGAAAGCACTTAAAGCTCATTTGGTAATAGTCCTCCTTTTGTAAGTGGGAAGTTTGGTCGCTGGGAAGGGAAGTAAGTGACAAACCTGTACCAGAGCCCAGGTGTCCTCATTCATGGAGGCATCTGGCCTCTTCTTGCTCCTTTCTCTCACTTACCATCTTGCTTTGTACTAGGTGCTACAACTGTGGAGGTCTAGACCATCATGCCAAGGAATGCAAGCTGCCACCCCAGCCCAAGAAATGTCACTTCTGCCAGAGCATCAGCCATATGGTAGCCTCATGTCCACTGAAGGCCCAGCAGGCCCCTAGTGCACAGGGAAAGCCAACATACTTTCGGGAGGAAGAAGAAGAAATCCACAGCCCTGCCCTGCTCCCGGAGGCCCAGAATTGAGCCCCAATGGGTGGGGGCTGTTCTTTTGCTATCAGGAAGTTTCGAGGAGCAGGCAGAGTGGAGAAAGTGGGAATAGGGTGCATTGGGGCTGGTTGGCACTGCCATATATCTCAGGCTGGGGTTCACACCATCACCCTTTCTTCCCTCTAGGTTGGGGGAAAGGGTGAGTCAAAGGAACTCCATCCATGCTCTGTCCAAATGCAAGTGAGGGTTCTGGGGGCGACCAGGAGGAGGGAATCACCCTACAACCTGCACGCTTTATCTGAGGCTCCATCCCAGAATTTCCAGCTTTTGAAAGTGGCCTGGAAAGGGAAGCTGTTTTCCTTTTAAAGAAGGATGTATAATAATAATTCCCATGCCAGAGTGAAATGATTAAGTATAAGACCAGATTCATGGAGCCAAGCCACTACATTCTGTGGAAGGGAATCTCTCAGGAATAAGGCAGTTTTTTTTTCCCACATCTTATATCCTCATACCCACTTTTGGGATAGGGTGCTGGCAACTGTCCCAAGCAATGGGTAGTGATGATGGCAAAAAGGGTGTTTGGGGGAACAGCTGCAGACCTGCTGCTCCTACACTCACCCTGCCCCGTTCTGGGTCAATGTGATTTTATTTATTTGCTCCCTTGGATACTGCACCTTGGGTCCCACTTTCTCCAGGATGCCAACTGCACTAGCTGTGTGCGAATGACGTATCTTGTGCATTTTAACTTTTTTTTTCCTTAATATAAATGTTCTGGTTTTGTATTTTTGTATATTTTAATCTAAGGCCCTCATTTCCTGCACTGTGTTCTCAGGTACATGAGCAATCTCAGGGATAAGTCGGCAGCAGCTCCAGGTCTGCACAGCAGGAAAACTTTTTGTTGTTTTTGCCACCGTGGAGAGCAACTATTTGGAGTGCACAGCCTATTGAACTACCTCATTTTTGCCAATGAGAGCTGGCTTTTCTGCCATAGTGTCCTCTTGAAACCCCCTCTGCCTTGAAAATGTTTTATGGGAGACTAGGTTTTAACTGGGTTGCCCCATGACTTGATTGCCTCCTACTGGAAGATTGGAAATTAGTCTAAACAGGAAATGGTGGTACAGAGGCTGGGCCAGGTGAAAGGCCCAGAGAGGAAGCCAAGATTAGGTGAGGGTTGTCTAATCCTAGGGGCACAGGACGTGCTTTACATCCCAGATCCATTCTTCACCAGATTAGATGAGGCCTACCATGCACAACAGGGTGTGTGTGTTCATAAAACCGGAGTTGGTAAGGATAAGTTTTAAGACCAGTACCCCTGTACTTAATCCTGTGCTGTCAAGGGATGGCTACATGAAGTAAGGTCTAAAATCCTTAACCTGTCAAAATTCTTGGGTTCCAGGAAGACACACGAGCAGGGCTTTGTGGTGCCTGGGGCCCGTGTCCTGCCCTGCTGCAGTAGTGATTAGTAATGTCATGGTAGCTAAAAGAGAAAACGGGGTTTCGTTTACATGCTGTGAGATCACCGCAAACCTACCTCACTGTGTTGAAACGGGACAAATGCAATAGAACACACTGGGTGGTGTGTGTCTGCTCCCGGGTTCTTGTCTCCCCTAAATACTGCCCCCCTCTAGTTATTGTATTTGTCTGGGCTTTGTAGGACTTCACTAATTTGGTGATTGCTAGGTGGCCTAGTTTGTGTAAATATAATGTATTGGTCTTTCTCCCTATTCTTTGGGGTTTTGTTTACAAACTTTTTTGTATTGAGAGAAAAATAGCCAAAGCATCTTTGACAGAAGGTTCTGCACCAGGCAAAAAGATCTGAAACATTAGTTTGGGGGGCCCTCTTCTTAAAGTGGGGATCTTGAACCATCCTTTCTTTTGTATTCCTCCTTACCTACCAGACCAGATCTTCTGTCCTAAAAACGTGTCTTCCACCCTGCCCTCTTTTCTGTTCACCCCCAAAAGAAAACCTACACACCCACACTCGTACACAGTTAATGCTTGGAGTGTCTCCACAACTTCTAAACAATGTATGCAAAAATCCGGAAGAAGCTAGAAACCCTCCATTCCTTGTTCCAGCCTCCTGAATCAAGACCAATAAATTTGTTTTGGTGAGCCACCATGTCCGGCCGACCATTTCATGATGTATTCATGACAAATACTTAAGACACTGCTGTAGGCCAGGCGTGGTGCCTCACGCCTGTAATCCCAGTACTTAAGACCATCCTGGCCAACACAGTGAAACCCCATCTCTACTAAAATACAAAAAATTGGCCAGGCATGGTGGTGTGTGCCTGTAATCCCAGCTACTCGGGAGGCGGAGGCAGGGGAATCACTTGAAACTGGGAGGTAGAGGTTGCAGTAAGTTGAGATCGCGCCACTGCACTCCAGCCTGGGTGACAGAGCAAGACTCCGTCTCAAAAAAAAAAAAAAAAAAGACACTGCTGTATTTAAGATGGATCAAACCTACTTAATTTTTAATCCTAAAGTAGAGAGATGCAATTGGGGGCCTTCCATGTAGAAAGTGGGGTCAGGAGGCCAAGAAAGGGAATATGAATGTATATCCAAGTCACTCAGGAACTTTAATGCAGGTGCTAGAAACTTATGTCAAAGTGGCCACAAGATTGTTTAATAGGAGACGAACGAATGTAACTCCATGTTTACTGCTAGAAACCAAAGCTTTGTGTAAAATCTTGAATTTATGGGAGGGAGGGTAGGAAAGCCTGTACCTGTCTATCCTTCTCCTGATCCCTTTCCCTCATTCCTAAACTGCAGGAGATTGAGCCCCTTTGGGCTTTGGTGACCCCATCACTGGGGTGTGTTTATTTGATGGTTGATTTTGCTGTACTGGGTATTTCCAATTTTCTAATCATTTATTAACACATGCTGACTCTTCCCTTCCCTTCTCCTTTCCCTGGGAAAATACAATGAATAAATAAAGACTTATTGGTACTCAAACTGTCATCCCCTTGTCAGATGTTTCTTGCCTTTCCCATGATTCCCACTTTCTTGAATTGGGACTCAGAAGTCACAGAAGAACCATTAAGTTTCTCTGTTCAGCCACTTTGTTAGGAATGAACCTTGAAAGTTCAGTCCTCTTAGCACCTCATTACAGTGGATTTTTTGTTTCTAGTTAAGGCCTCTTGTCCTTTCCTTGGAAGCTTCCACATTCAAGAGGGGATTAGGGGCTTGGCATGCATAAGAATGGGGTTGCCTGTGCCACTGGCTGGGATGAAAGGATGGGGCCATGGCTTGGGGCATGAGACCCTAATAATACTTTGTCCCCTACTATTCAAAGCCTTTTACAAATCTTAATTAATTAAGCCCTTGCAGCACCCCAAGGAGAGAAATGTGTTGTGGAACTGGGGAAATTGAGGCCAGAGGAGATTCACTGACTAGCTATAAATGCAACATTTTCTTCGAGCCAAAGTTTGTTGGCTTTTTGATGAACACCGATTTTTTTTTAAATACATATCACAAGTCATCAAGCAAAAACACTGAATTTTAAACATCTATTCCCACTAAGGGAAGGAGGATTTTAAAAAAAACAAAAACTTTATTGGAGGCAAACCAAGTATATTAATAAAGTACAGGGAAACCGGTTTAAATCCTCAGTCCTGACATCAGAGCAAGGGTAAGAAGTTTCATACATCCATTCCAGGGACTCTGTGGCTCCTTAATTGCATCAAAAGTCAAAGCTAACAGGAGAATCTCATGAAGCAGCAAACTACTAGCGGGCTTCGTTAAATTGTCTTGCTGCAAAATGAAGTAACTTGGGCTGAAATTTACTCCCCAGGTTGCAAAGCCGGGCATGGTGGTGTGTGGAAGAATGGAAAAGCTCAATACTATTCATTTCTACTCATCTTTAGGGCTTTCTTTGATCATGTTGCTGTATTAAAATAGCCCCTTTCATTAGAAAGAGTGGAAGACATCAATTAGACATTGCCAGTAAAACGTCTCTTCCTTGCCTCATTTCTTTAATAATGTAAGGTGAAATGCGACAAAAGGTTCTTATGACAATTGTGAATTTCTATTCCACTCAAAACATTCAGATGGAAGTTGTATTATGCTTTGCAAGAAATATTGGTTGTATCAGAATCTGTTAAGAATTTTTTCCTCCTTTTTCAATTTTGAGAAAACTGAACGAATTTCTTTTGTGAGCCTAAAATTCTTGCAACCCTTTTCTCGTAAAGGTTCAGTACAGAGCTAATGCCCTTAGCTTTTCTGCTAGGGTTAATTTGTTATTTTCGTTTATGTGCTGCCAAAGCGAGTACCTTTCTGTTATTTTAGAAGTCATTCTTTGGCAGAGGTTCTTCTGGCCTTATCCCTTCTCTTGAGTTCTTTGGGATGGGTCTTGGGAATCCACAAAGCCCAAAACACGGGTGCCTCAAAATAGATTCATATTCTGCGCGTCTGTAAAGATTGGCTGCGGCTGGGAACTTCTTCCCAGAGGATTAAATCCACTAAATAAAACACGAAAGGTTAACAAAATAATTTTCAAGAGTATGTACTAGTGCTCTAATGAAGGCCGGTTCTGCGGCATTCCAAGGTAAGGACGCTGCCTTGCTCCGTTTCTCAGCAGTCCTAACCGGCCTTCGAAGGCCGAGAAACGCCTCGATTCTTGCCCCCTGACACATTTCCCTGGCGCGTTTTCCAGAGGCCTCCTAATATGTGAGTCTACCGACCCCTCCGCTGACCACGCTGTGCTCAACCCCGCCTTCCCCAGCCTGTCCCCTAGAACGTGGCCTGGAGCCCGGCCTCCTGCCCCGCTGAGTCACAGGACCCTGCCTCTGACCCACACCCCCTTCCACGTCCCGCGGGACTGAGAACTGCAGCCCCAAAACGCTCGCTGCGCCCTCCCCTCCTAGCCCGCAGGCACAGGCGCAGGGCAGGGCCCCACCCCTTGAGTGACGGAGGGGGCGTGCCCCAGCGCCCAAAGATGACGTATTCTTCTGGCGCCACGTCGTGAGGAAGTGCCGGCCCACTTAAGCAGTGAGGACGCGCCTAGCGGAGCGAATCAGGTGCGGGTGAACTGAAGGGATGAACTAGAGGAAGAGAGAGTGAGTGGGCGCGGGGCAGCTGCGGGAGAAGCAGAAGGACGGCAGAGGGAATAACCAGGAGACCACTGAGGCGTGAAGTAGCAGGGGTGCGATAACTGAAGGGGTTAGTAACTGGGAGCGCAGAGTGGGAAACAGCTTGGGGGTAAGATGGAGAAGGAAGAAATGGGGAATGATCAAGATGTGGTCACCATGATATGGCAGGAAACCGACTTAGATGTTCAGAAGAAGTCAGTGCAGATACTGAGGAAATGGGAATGGGAACAAGTCCGCAAAACCAGGAGAACCGAGAAAAGGCTTTTGCCCTCCAAAGGTCTCACTGGCTTATGATACTCTGAGTGGTAAAAGATGAGAGGCTTAGACCAATGACTTTGGATTCTAATGCTGACTGCTCTCCACAGTCCAGCTGATTCCCCAGAAGTCAGTTATAGCTCTTTACAAATCTTGGTGTCTTATTTTCTTTCTTGTTTATCCAAGATTACCTGGCTGGTGTTTGGTTGTTTTGGGGTGATCTTCTGACTGGAAAATAACTATGTCATGGATCAAGGAAGGAGAGCTCTCACTCTGGGAGCGGTTCTGTGCCAACATCATAAAGGTGAGCAATGCCCCAGAGCATCAGTTGGCCTTCTGGTCTTATGTCAGAATCTGTTATTAAGGTTAAGTGGAATTTGGCAAGGAAACCAAAGTGTCTTAGAATAGTAACTTCCAGGTCTACATTTCTGGTAGACTTTTGTCCTAACTCTGACATTTTCAGGAAGCCCAGGCCTCTCAATATCATTGGGCAGCCTATACTGCTAAATTTTTCTTATAGAGAACTGAAATTTGTTTCCCTGGAACTTGAATCCATTGTTCCTTATACTTTCCTCTGGATTTAAATAGGTTAATCTTTGATTTATTCTTAGATCTGGCAGCAGAGCAATGGCTAAGAGTGGGCCTGGTTGCTTATGCCTGTAATCCCAGAAATTTAGGAGGCCAAAGTGGGCAGAGTGTTTGAGCTCAGGAGTCGAGACCACCCTGGGCAACATGGCAAAACCCCGATTCTACAAATAATACAAAAATTAGCCGGGCTTGGTGGTATGCACCTGTAGTCCCAGCTACTTGGAAGGTTGAAGTGGGAGAATTTCTTGAGCTGAGGTCAAAGCTGCAGTGAGTCATGATTGTATCACTGCACTTCAGCCTGGGTGACAGAATGAGACCCTGTCTCAAAAAAAAAAGTTTGGGCTCTGGAGTCAGACAAACATGAATGAAAGTCCTGTTCTTTTTTTTATTTTGAGACAGTCTTGCTCTGTTACCCAGACTGGAGTGCAATGGTGCAGTCTTAGCTCACCGCAACCTTCACCTCCCAGGTTTAAGCAATTCTCTTGCCTTAGCCACCCAAGTAGCTGGAGTTACAAGTGTGTGCTACCACACATGGCTAATTTTTATATTTTTAGTAGAGATGGGGTTTCACCTTGTTGGCCAGGCTGGTCTTGAATTCCTGACCTCAGGTGATCTACCTATCTCAGCCTCCCAAAGTGCTGGGATTACAGGCCTGAGCCACTGCACCTGGCCTGAAAGTCCTGTTCCATCATTTAGTAACCCTGTGAATTTAACAGTTGTAGAATTGTTATGAGAATTAAATGAGACATTAATATAAAGCACTTAGCAAAATGTCTAGCAGTT